TAAAACGTGAGGCATATGGTGTGGTCGTTGTTGATACATGGTGATTTGTATAAGGAGTGCCGACAAAAGTTTCCTGTCAATAATTGTTTTTCTATGTTGTCACAAAAATCTAGCTCCATCACGTGAGCAGCTGGAAAGTGCCAAAATGAGTTTTGTTTTGATTTCTTCATTTTTTTTAATGAAAAGGATAAAATAAGGTTTTTAACCTCAAAATATAACTTAATGATAATTTATCGTATCATTAAAGATAATTAGTGCCCTTTAACCTAGGATATCAACATCATCAATCATCATTGTCATTGCTAAGTTTGTGACCAAGAGTTAGTAACACACCCACACACACACACACACACACACACATTTTGTTGTGGATATGGACAGGGATGGGTGACGACGACATGTAGGAAGATTGCAAATATGAGGATGTAATATACTAAAATTTAACCCAAGATTAATTAAGTTAATCAAGGATAAGTGAGTAATTTTGAAAGAATATTTAGAGATAAATAATTTTAGTTAGGAGATTATTATTGGATTTAATTTAGCATAAATCCAAATTCTAAATTATGATTTTTAAGAAAATAGAAATAGTAATGATAATATTATAAAAAAAACAAGAAGAAGGAAAAGGAACATAGAATAAATTGAAAATTGAAAAGGGGGAAGAGAAGTAATTTTTGCTTTGGGTATTGAGGTGTAAATAATGCAAAAAAAAAAAAAGGAAGGCAGATGAATTACATTCACGAGTGTGCATTGAAGAGAACAAAGGAGAGAAAGTAGGGTGTGAAATTATTACATGGGACCCACATTTTTTTTTTATTCAAAACAACATACTCACCCTTCTGATCTCATTTTCTCTTCCCTTTCCTCATTTCTCTTTGCACACAACAGAGAGAACGGATACAGAGCGAGTGCGCGTCGTTGATGGGAGCTGATTTAGAAGGTGATGCTTCATAATAGGATACTTCATATGAGATTTTAAATATTCTAAGACTATGTAAGTATTCTAAATATTGTCTTAGTCATTTTTCTTCCCTGAGATTGCAGATTTTGAGATTTTGAAAAATCTAGGGTTTGAAAGAGGGATAAATTTTTTGATGAGAAAATTTGGTTGTTGAGGTTGTTAGTAGTATAATAAATATTTTAGAGTATTATTTTGTTGATAGAATTGAAATTTGAGGCATTTGAGTTTATCCCTAGATCCCTATGGGTAGATTTTTGGTTAAATCTGAAAATATAAATTAATTTGTTGATATTTAGATGATTATTTGAGATGAGAAATAAATTATTATGGCTATAGAATAATGATTCTAGGCTTGAAATTAAGTTTGTAATTTCTGGGTATTTTTATGTGCAAATTTTTGGAATAAAAAGAGAAATTTTGATATTAAAAAATTATTTGAATGAAATTATTATGAAGAAGACTATTGAACCAAGTAGATAGGTTCAAATACATAAAATTAAATTTTAGAATTCAAGAGATTAAGACTAAATTCTTAAAAATATATATATATATATATATAAATAAAATAAATATAAAATAAAATAAAATAAATACTTAGGTGTTAGAGTATGAGTGAAAATTATATTAATAATATTATTGACACATTGAGATATGATCAATTGTAGATTAATTTTCTTTTGACACTATTCAAGCTTTGGAAAGCTCTGGAAGTGTTGTAACTTGACGGGTAACTTTTGACCTCTCAAAGGTTGAGGTAACCGGGGGGAAATCTATTTTATACATTTATATGTTAATTAATTAATTATGTTAGTCAAATAAAAGAATATATATATCATTATATATATATATATTTAAATTTGAAATAGTTGTTTGTAATGCATGTGACTTTGTTGAGACTCTATGACTTGTGAGTAATGAGATTGATGGTTGATGATTATGTGTACACTCTTGGTTATAAGTTGTGGATCATGCACAGTGATGAAAGTTGATGAGCATGTGGGATAATTTTTAAAATATATATATATATATATATATGAGTTTTTGAAATGCATTTTCTCATGAGCATGATCATATGGTGGGAGTTCGCCTTAGTGAAGGAGTTAGCGATTACACAAAATCCATATGGTATTTGGCTATTAACCAATAATCCTAAGGGTTATAGCCGTTACTTACCTTGTAAGGTATTGTAGCATTGTTCTTATTAAGAGACTTGACCCTACTGGCCTACCTAGAATTTTAGGTAGAGCTAGTTTTGGGTATAACACCCCATAGTGTGTAATTTGGGGGAAATCATGTTCATAATTGAGTAAGGTAACCCTGGCCAGGTAGCCCCTCATGATATGATTAAGGCTTTGGGTAGTCTCACCACATGGACGATCCCTTCCCGTTGTTGGCCCATGGATTTCATGTCAGAGGAAATAAGGGGGAATATAAGGAAGAAATTGATCATGCATATTATTATTATCATGCCATTTGAGTGATTGATGGCTATGTTGAAAATGTGATTATAATTGTGGAAATGAGAATATGTATTAATTTTGTAAATAATGTATATATAGCCATTTGTGCAAAGTTTATACTTGACTTTATTCTTGAGATTATTCACATGAGTTAGATGTTAATGTGATTAACATGTTATTAATGTGATTGTTTATATAGTCACTTTGATAAACTTATTAGCCACTTGTATTCATGATTAATTACCATACATTTGTACAACTTAGACGTACCTTGATTATTGAGTGGTTGTACTCATCCCTCTCTTTTAACATATTACAGGAGCTAACTCATCTGAGAAGAACAAAGGAAAGGAACATTAGGCCAAGTGATAATAATCACTTCTGTAGGCCTCTCTCCTTTTATGTTGATATGTGTATTTAGTTTATGATATTGCCAATTAGGATAATATATTCTTAATCCACTTGTACTATAGGTTTTGTGTAGGATGAAAATGTATTTTGGGCTCTTGAGAATGTGTTTTGATGCTTGTATTATATTAATGGGCTAAAATATTTGTGTAAGTAAAAATAGTTATTATCATGCTTCCATATAAGTTTAATTGAATGATATGAGTTTTTAAAATATTTTAAAGACTTGAGATCCCTTTATATTAAATAGTTTTAAAAAAATACATATTAAGAATTCATTGAGGTTAATCTCGTATTGGATAATCCATTTGGGTTAGTCCTTGATTAATCATGGTTAGTATGATGATTAAGTCCTAATTTATGACGCCCTTTACAGAGAACATGTCTGGCATTAAAATTCAATCAGGGCTAATATGAGTATCCTAAAGTATGATTAGATTCTCCATCATTTTGATCTATATATAATGGACTACGATGTTTGTTTAAGCTAAATAAGACGAAAACGATACATTGTCTGTGCCAAATTAATTGTAAACTTGTAATATAATGCTTGTCTTATCACACTACTTCTCTAGAGTTTACAAAAGCCTACGAACAAAAAATAAATTTATAATATATATATATATATATATTTAGCATAACAATGTTTTTGAAAAAGATATTTAGCCTAATATTGATCATTTGTTAATATTAAAAAAATGGTAAAAAATTCAACAAATTAATCTTTGAAAATTGCTAATTTTTTTAAAAAATATTAACAAATTATGTTCAAATATTAATATGTGATATTGTTTAGAAATTGGCAATAACTCGTCTAGAATTTAAAATAATTGATGAAAATACTTAAAAATCAAAGTTATAATGTGTGTATATTTTTGTAGTCCTGCTATATATATATATAACTCCGTTGGTTCAATGGTTTAAATCCTCCCTTAATCTCTTGACCATCGTTGCTAACATTGGAGCTCCGACATAGTGACAATTTTTTTTGGGTCAAAAATAAGAATGAGAGAAGGATTTTTTGATCATTGATACGTAAAACACATCAGGCCTGCGTTACATTTTAAAAATGCTTTGGCCCCCAACAGCAAATGTGTTCCTGGGGAGGGCTGTGAGTGAAATTTTCCCTTTGAAAATTTTATTCAAAAAAAAAATTCCATTTGAAAACAAAGAAAATTACATCCAGATTCCATGTAATAAAGTTAATTACTGTAAAGTCTATTAATAATTGAACTAATGCTATTATAACTAAACTAAGGCTATTGGCAACAACACATTCAGTTATTAATAACTTTAGTTTAGTTGTTAATAAATTTTATAAAAATTAATTTTTTAATATAAAATTTTAATGTAATTCTCCTTTTAAAAAACGTGAGGCATATGGTGTGGTCGTTGTTGATACATGGTGATTTGTATAAGGAGTGCTGACCAAAAGTTTCCTGTCAATAATTGTTTTTCTATGTTGTCACAAAAATCTAGCTCCATCACGTGAGCAGCTGGAAAGTGCCAAAATGAGTTTTGTTTTGATTTCTTCATTTTTTTAATGAAAAGGATAAAATAAGGTTTTTAACCTCAAAATATAACTTAATGATAATTTATCGTATCATTAAAGATAATTAGTGCCCTTTAACCTAGGATATCAACATCATCAATCATCATTGTCATTGCTAAGTTTGTGACCAAGAGTTAGTAACACACACACACATTTTGTTTCAAGTTCAAATAAAAATTTCTAACTTGCGGTTTCATTTTTATGCATCACGATTTGAGATAGAGATTGATTCCAATAAACCCATAGGAATCTTAACGCAAATTTGTCTCTATCGGTTTCTTAGACGAATTATATATATATATATATATATCAAACTTATACAATGAAAATTTATATTAGATATTTAAAAGAATATAAATAAAAAGATCTGCTTTTTAGGAAAATGGAACAAGAGCATTAAGGGGCGGGCATCTATCAATGCCAATCAATATGTATAAAAGCTGAAGGAAAGTGTTAGGTACCAAAGCTTTTGTAAAAATGCAAGGACCGACACAAATCAAAATCATAAAACGTGAAAAATATCTTATCCATTTCGTTCCTGCGTGTCTTGGTCAGCAGCCTCCCTATAAATACCCGTGACTTCCCATCCTCTTGTTCATTGCCTCATCAACTCTTATAAATAGCAGATATATTGCCTCCATATAATCATATAAATCCCAAGTTTTGAGTTTGTGCTTTGATACCTGAAAGCATGACCACGTTCACGCCGACGGTAATTAACTACACCATGGTCGTCACCGGTCCTAAGCCTGACTTCCTCGTCATGGCCGGCCAATTTTTTGGTTCTAAAGAAGCTCTTCCTTGGTGGTGGACTACAGGTGCTTCCTTGAATCCTGATAATTTCTTCCTCTTTCGTGTTCTTTTTTGGCCTCATGATTTATTTCACTTACATATACGATTAATTCTGAATCCAGATAATGAAGATACTGCGGCGAAAAGCTCAGATGTAGTTGCAGAAGATCAGAAAAGCATGAAGAGGTATGAATGCCATGCACCGACGAAAGATGGTATGAGCAGATTGTCCAGCACCTTGGCAGATGACCAAGTATCACATGACCTTACTTTTGATTGGGTGGTAGAGAAGGGAATTCCGGAAGTATTTTCGATTTTGCTTCTTGATTTCGAGATATTCCTTGTGAGTCTCACTGTTCATCCCATTCCCAATCTCACTTCTGAGCCTCTTCATTTTATCTGCAACTCCTGGGTTGACACCTTCAACAACACTCAACTCACTCGTACTTTCTTCATCAACAAGGTACGTTCGCTTTTTTTTTTTTCCTTCCATAGGTTCTACAACTTTATATATTAACTAGTCCCTCCTTTAACCTGTCATACATATTGATTGAGCAAATGTAATATATTGCAGTCATATCTGCCGAGTGAAACAACCGGAAAAGTGGGGTTTTACCGAGAAGTAGAGCTGAAACTTTTAAGGGGAGATCTGGATGAAACTGACGGAGTGCGCAAGGAATGGGATAGAATCTATGATTATGCTACCTATAATGATTTGGGTGATGTTGATACAAGTCCAGATCTTGCTCGTCCTACTCTTGGAGGATCCGCTGAATATCCATACCCACGCAGGTTAAGAACTGGAAGGCCCCCATCACAAAATGGTGAGACTTCAATTATATATATACTCCCTCCCTCCATTTTAAAATATGAAACATTTTTAACCAAATCTTATTTCTCAATAAAGTAGTTACTTATCTTTAAATTAACCATCTTCTTTCATATTTATTCTTATTTAATAAGGTATTTCATCCTGAAATAAATATAAAATTATTTATTTAATAGAGACACTTAAAAAAAAAATAATTACATCTTGAAAGAATCTTTTAAAAGATGTATAACATTTTTGAACTGAAGAAGTATAAGTTATTGTTGGGAGATTAATTAGTGTGAGTAGATTTAACTTGAACTGAAAATCAACGACAAAAAAGTCCCACATAGGACATAAACAAATGTTGGAAAAATGGGATTTAGGAAATCTGCTCTCTCTTCTGTTGTCTCTCCTGCTGCCCTAAATCTCAACCCTTCATTTGAGGGAATTAGATGAAATTTCCCTGACCATTAATTGAAAGCAACGGTTGAGATTTGAGACAGCGGGGGAGACAATAGAGAAGACAGCAAACCCGCTAAATCTCGAAAAAGTCGTTGTACCTGTCTAATCTCTGTGCTTGTCCTTTTCCATGGTTATTATATTAACTACATATCTGCGTGTGTGAACATCTAAGCAGATCCGAGCACTGAGAGCAGGCTGCCTGCAGAAGAAGCCTTTAATATCTATGTTCCTAAAGATGATCGATTTGGAACCCAGAAGTTGTATGAGTTTGTGCAGCATTTTCCCAAATCATCAATGAACCTCGTTAAGTCATATGTGTCAGCGGAATTGGAGGCCTCAGGAAAAGAGTTTGAGAGCTTTGAACAAGTGGTTAAAATTCTGTACAAAGATGGTTTCACTTTTAATGTACCTAAAGAGATTCTTGATGCTATTGCCGAGAGGCTACCTATACCAACGCCCCCAGAAAATGGTGATCTGCAATTGTTGTTTCCAATTCCTGGTGTCATTCAAGGTAAGTATATGTAACTATCATATTATAATATGTTATATCCAATTGTATGGGTTTGATTCAAGCTTAAGAAATAATATACTTTATTAACTCTTGGACTAAAGTTTAGCGATAATTTTTCCATAATCAAGTATAAACATGAAGCTTCATTATCAATTAGTCTGTTATTTGGAACAGATAATTTAGATGGATGGATGACGGATGAAGAATTTGCACGAGAGATGCTTGCCGGTGTGAATCCTGTTTTAATCCGCCTACTTCAGGTAAGAACAAGTAATCAAATTTACAAATATATAACTATCATTTGAAAGATATATAATAGAAGCGTGGAGAGATCAGTCAAGAATTAATAGACTTTGAAATTGCATTATAGTTCTTTAATCCTTGACTAATAATAATTTTTTAAGTCAAAAGACCACATTGTTATTGGCGCCAGCTGCCGAAGCCCCTACCGGCTCTGAGATTGCCAAAGCCTTGCCGCTAACAACTGCCGATAACATTTTTATTTAAGAATAATTAGTAAGGGTGGTCAAGGGAGGGTTTGATTTCATGATCCCTTAGCCATCTAAAAGTTTGATTTCATGATCCCTTAGCCATCTAAAAAGTTTGGTGACCTTTTAATTATATATGGTAAAAAAAAAAGTAGTAAATCAAGCCTTTAATCACTTTTATGTTATAACATAATGGTATATTGTTAATTCCTGAATCGCCTTTGTTATTTTATTTGTTAATCTAACATGAAGAAATGAGGGTGCTTTAAAATTTTATACATTTTACTTGTTAAAAGTTCGAATGTGTTGTTATTAATCACGAATAAGTTATTGTCAAAACTCAAAGAATACTTATTGATAAAGAACTAACATGTATAATTAAGTCTATTCTATTAATTTTTCTAACTTGTTAAAACCTGAATAGATTGTTATTAATTTTGAAAGAATTGTTGTGAAAATCTAAATGTATACTTATTGACGAAGGACTACTACTTGTACAATTAAGCTCATCTTATCTATTTTTCTAACTTGTTAAAGCATGAATGGATTATTATTAACTTTAAATGAGTTGTTAAAACCTAAATGGATATTTATTAATGAAGAACTAACACTTGTACAATTATATACCCATCCTATCTATTTTTTTAGCTTATTAAATTCCAAATAGATTATTGTTAACTTCAAATAAGTTATTATTAAAACCTGAGTGGATACTTGTTGATGAATAACTAACACATATAATTATGATTATCTTATTTATTTTTCTAACTTGTTAAATTTTGAATGAATTATTATAAAAACCTGAATAGATACTTGATATTAATAATTAAAATCACAGGTCTAATAAAACAAGTGTATAAAAAATAAACTATTTTAAGTTAACAAAAATTTAATTGAGCTTTAAAAGGTTAGAAAAACGGATAAGATGAGCATAATTATACGTTTTAGTCTTTTATTAGCAAGTGTCCATTTGACTTTTAAAGTCAATTTATTCTAAATTAACAATAATCCATTTGGGTTTTAACAAACTAAAAAATGGTTAAGATGGGTTTAACTATATAATGGTTAAGATGAGTTTAATTATATAAGTGTTAGTCATTCATTAACAAGTATACATTTATATTTTCTCAATAATTTATTCAAAAATAACAATAATGTATTTCGGTTTTAACAAGTTAGAAAAACTAATAGAATGAGCTTAATTATATGTGTTAGTCTATTAACAATTATCTATTCGAGTTTTGACAACAACCCATTCATGATCAACAATAATACATTTGAACTTTCCACAAGTACAATGCATGAAGTTTTAAAGTTTTTAATTTGCAATTGTTCATGTCAAATTAATAAATATCATTTGTAAAATAACAAGTGCCGTTTAAGAATTAAAAACACACCATTATTTATAACATGAAAGGAGTTAGAAACTTTGTTTACTAATAATTTTTTTTTGCCATATATAATTGAAAGGCTTAGTGGTTAGAAGATTATGGGATCAAACCCTCCCTTAACTATCTTTACCAATTATACTAGAATAAGAGTGTCACTAGTGCTGGAGCTCTAGTGACCCTAGCAATGGTAGTGGCTCTCAAGGTGGTTCGACAGCCAGCACCTACAACAGTAGGGATGGCTTTTTTTTTTTTGGTATAACTTTAGGAACAATTTAGTCTTTTGACTTAAAAAATTAATACCAGTCAAGAACCAAGGGACTATAATGCAATTTTAAAATTTATGGATTTTTGACTGATATAAATTTTGTCTGGTAGTCTTTGACTGTTATTTTCCCTAACATAAATTTATTCTTTCGTCTCTTAATTAGCTTTTTATAACTTTCTTAAATTGATTATTGCAGGAGTTCCCCATAAAAAGCGCGCTAGATATTAATCTCTATGGTGACCATACATCTAGCATAAAAAGAGAACACTTGGAGAAGAACATGAATGGGCTCACAGTTTATGAGGTGAACAAATTAAAAATGCAACTTTGTCCTCTACTTTGAAAAAGATTATCATAATACTAACGAAACAATGCCCTTTAAAGTAAACTCTTGTTCGAATCTCATTAGATGTTTCACACAGGCACTTGATGGCAAGAGATTTTTCATACTAGATCATTATGATGCATTCATGCTATATTTGAGGAAAATAAACGAAACTTCAAGAAAGGCATATGCAAGCAGGACAATCCTTTTCCTCCAAAACGATGGCACTTTGAAGCCATTAGCTATTGAGCTGAGTTTACCTCACCCTGATGGAGATCAATTTGGTCCAATCAGTAAAGTTTATGTGCCTGAAACTGAAGGTGTTGAGGGTACCATTTGGCAATTGGCTAAAGCTTATGTTGTTGTAAATGACACAGGCTATCATCAACTTGTCAGTCACTGGTAATCTGCTTTAATTTCTTACGGCGTAGCATTATATATTCAATTCTAGAATATATGATAATGAAACCACATATATATATAAAGCAGTTACTATCTTTATTATTATTTTTTTTGGTTTGATTTCATAGGCTAAACACTCATGCTGTGATGGAGCCATTTGTGATAGCGACACACAGGCAACTCAGTCAACTTCACCCTATGCATAAGCTTCTTCACCCTCATTTTCATGACACCTTGTTTATCAATGCACTCGCTCGCCAAAACTTGATCTCTGCAGATGGAATTATAGAGACCTCATTCTTGCCTGGAAAATATGCCATGGAGATGTCCTCTGTGGTTTACAAGAGTTGGAATTTTCTTGATCAAGCCTTACCTGCTGATCTCCTCAAGAGGTTAATCTTATTATAAAACCCTTGTTTCCGCAATAACATCTTCAAAAGTTGATAACTTACTAACATTTATTTCAAAAAATTTCAGAGGAATGGCAGTAGAGGATCCAACCGCTCCTCATGGGCTTAGCCTTGTGATAAAAGACTACCCTTACGCTGTAGATGGACTGCTCATATGGGATGCTCTTAAGACTTGGGTTCATGACTACGTCTCTTACTACTACGAGAATGATGACATCATTAAGCAGGACCCTGAGCTGCAATCTTGGTGGAAAGAGCTAGTAGAAGTGGGTCATGGTGACCTAAAAGACAAGGACTGGTGGCCTAAGATGCAAACTCGTCAAGAACTGATTCACTCTTGCACTATTATCATATGGATAGCCTCGGCTCTCCATGCAGCTATCAACTTTGGACAGTACCCATATGGGGGTTATATCCTGAACCGTCCTACTCTCAGCAGAAGGTTGATGCCCGAGAAGGGAACTCCAGAATATGAAGAGATGGTGAAGAATCCACAGCTAGCTTTCTTGCAAACAATCACACCAAAATTTGAGACTCTTCTTGATCTTTCAATTATAGAGATACTGTCAGGGCATACCACTGATGAGGTCTATCTTGGGACAAGGACTATTCCTTATTGGACATCTGATGTGAAGGTGTTGGAGGCTTTCAAGAAATTTGGAGATAGATTGGTAGAGATTGAGAAGGTATTGATAAGGAGGAATGAAGATGGGACACTAAAGAATAGGGTTGGGCCAGTGATGATGCCCTACACTCTGCTCTATCCTAGCAGTGAACCAGGACTCACGGGCAGAGGAATTCCAAATAGTATATCTATATGAAGCAGCTGCTTTAACTATGAATGGAACTATTAGTGTTATGTTTTGATATTGTTGTTTGTTTCAAGTGCTCCTGTCTGCCGAAAAATAAAAGGGGTCATCTATGTATTTGGCTCTTGTAACGTTTCATATATAATAAACAAGGCAAACTGTTTACATACATGCTTATCAACTAATTGTACATGTTGAGGGTTGCGTAGTTGTTGGAATTTCGTAATGATGAGCAAGGATGAGAGAAGTGGGTGAAACAACGAAGATATTTAACTTTGCAGGAATCTGAATCTCTCAAAAACATACCACTTATGACCTCAGAGAATGTTCCACCAAGGATCTACAGATGAGGAAAATTGCAAATTATAAACCCAAATCTAATATCTTACAGGCAATAACTGTGAATTTCAAAATTACAAATCCAGAGGTTATAACTGACTGAATCTTAGATCTGACATGGCCTTTTTGTATTAGATGCTTAGAAGGAGCTCAAGAATTTCTTCTAAACCTGTTTAACATTCAAATGTAAACAAGCTCAAGCCACTTTTGATGAAATCTGTAAAGGAAGGGGAAGACCAATTCATCAATAACTAAAGTAAGGACATGGAAGAAGAAGCCCATTCACCAGATAAAACCAGAGAAAAAATGTAGCCGTTAGAAGTGTTTTCCAATTAAAATGGAAGACATACAGATAGCGCCCAGGACACTTTCGTCTACTTTGTCACAACAGCTTAGCAATGAGAGGTAGTAGATGGTGCAGAATAGGTCCCTCACCCTGAGACAATGTAAGTTGACAGAAGACTGATTTTCATACAATTCAATTTTGGCGGAAAAATAGCCAACCTTTTTTATTTTTTTAAAAAGAAAAACTAATTTTTTTCCTCATGTCTTGAGGGTGAGGGTCAAATATGCATCAAAATACTTCTTGTTTTGGCTACATATTCCACTCATGGCCAATTATATGAAATCTCTTCCATTTATGGCCTAAATAATAAGGTTAGTTAATGTCGAGAATAAACAAATATTAACTTTCATTACTTCAGCACTACGACAGAGAATGGTCATGCATACGTCGCTTCCAACAATGTGGTTAATTTGAAGGCGATGGGAATCAGGAAATGTAAGAATTTTCAGTAGCTCAACACTATGGTCAAGCAAGCCAATATATGATTTTTTTTTTTGGTAAGTTACATATAGATCCCATGGAAGGAAAACATTTACAAATAAGTCTCATGAATTAAAAAAAAAAGAAAAAATTACATCTAATTTTCTTCAAAAGAATTAATCACAGATAAGAACTAATACAAAAAGAATTATTGTTAAAATTGAAACATGACTTTTTTTTTTTTTTTAAATGAGACTTAATTGTTGATCTTTATCTGTGATTAATTCCTTTAAGAAAAAAGTGAACGTGATTCTCCCTTCAAAAAAATACAACCAAATCTTTTAAAACCTTGTTGTAAATGAATTGTGAATAAGGATAAATTGAGTTGTATATTGTACGGCTCAATTGTGAATTTCATCATGTGACTCCATTTTTATCTCAAGTTCTTTGGACATTATGTTTCAATTATGAACATTTTATTTAGTTGAATTAAGTGTTTTTACATCATTAACTCCATATCTTTTCAGCGGGGAAAAAAATGAAATTTCAGTTGTAGATTAGGAAATTTCAATTGTAATAAAAATATTAGAGAACCAGTTGTAAATAATGAATTTTCATTTGTAAATTATGAAATTATAGTTGTAAATATGAGATAACCAGTTGTTAGTAATATATTGAATCAAGTAATGAATGAAACAACGCCGAAAACAATAATCCAATACCTAATGTCATCACGTTTACACTATTGAGAGGACAAGTTTTTCAAGAGTATGAAGTATTCTCATACCATTTAAATCCAGAATTTTTAGTTGTTAAAAAGAATGAAATTTCAGGTGTAAATTAGGAAACTTCGTTTGTAAATTAAGAAATTTCACTTATAAATTATGTAATTGCAGTTGTACACGAGAGTTGTGAAAAAACGAAATTACGGTAGTAAATTAGAAAATTTGAATTGTAAATTTGAGATGACAAGTTATAAATACCAATCGTTTTTCAAGATGGTATTTCAGTTGTAAATTACAAAGTTTCACATGTAAATTAAGAAATTAAAGATGTGAAATTGTAATGTCCATATGACTGAAATGACTTGCATAAACATTGAGAAATCATAATGTAAGACCATATCCAGAATAGTCTCGAAAAACAATGATGTGAACTCACAATCTCTAAATTTGTCTCAAAATAGTACAATAAACTAAAGACATCCAAAACACTTAACAGAAGTAGAAAATCATAAATCCAGAACACTAATAACAACATAAGCCAGAAACAAGGTCAATCACCTCCATAAATCATATGTTCAGATCAAACTAAATCACGTTTTGTACAGAAGATAACTTGTAATAACACGTGAATTTACTTGAGCTTGTCCTTAATTTGCAGTCATACTCTTCAATATCGCTCAGAAAAATATTCACCGCCCCTCCAAAGTTCCAAATCTGAACAAGGAAATTAGTGGAAGGATGAAGGAACACTCCTTTATTGGTACTTGGTAGAAAGGCTCAGATCTAACAATTACATAATGAAAGAAGGGATGCACAAGCAAACAAAACAACAATTAACAAACAGGACGAGAAACAAAATAATCTCAATCAAGGCATGCATAAACTCAGAAACAAAGCAAGTCAACTCAGATTCATCATACAAGGAAAGGAAAAAGTATGATCCCGTGTTGTTATAGCAAAAACAAATCAATGTCCTAAAACTCATAGGAGCTACCTAGTTAATAAGAAAATAGTCGTCGGGCTTCCAGGATATGAGAGACATAACGGAAGTTGAGAATATATGATCCTATAATTCTCAAGTAAAGGCAATTACTCATAGCATTGCAGTATTTATGTTTTCCATTAATACTATAACATGAAATTGATGAGTATGATCAAAGCATATGACATGCCATTTCTTATGACTAGTATTACTGCACCGTTGTTACTTGTATAAGATCAAGAGAGGAGGGTGCTGCAAAGAATTATATTCAAAATGAAATTGACTTTACATATAATGACTAAATTGCCTCACTAAGCAATTTACCTTGTCTATATTCACACTCTGCATAGGTGCTTGACACACCAGAGTAATAAGATCCGTCTTAACAAGATTTGACATCCTAGTGTTTGGAAATAAGCGCCATGCTCCGGGTATAAACGTGACAAATCCTAATCAACAATCCTCTCCAGCTCCGCATTTCGAAAACTATGTTCACAGGCTCAAGGTAAATAACCTTTTCCATCTGAAAACGATCAGGCATATACTGCACAAACTAAAACGCCAATTCATATTATTGGGAGAATAATTCTGCAAAATAACATCACAGTAGCGTACCACTTTACCAGGCTGCATCTGGATTTTCATTTTCGTTGCAAAGTTGGGGGATCTTTTCCTCCTCAATTCGTATATGTCATTTGCTTCAGGCTTAACAAAAATACATAAAACTTTTTTTATGGAATAAAGGCAAATATCACTATCAAGCCAGGACTCGAGAAATTTTGAGGAAAAAAACTAAATCTTGTTTAGAATCACAAACGAAAAGAATAAAAACTAAGAGTTAACCCTTACATATAAAACAAAAAAGAAGAAAACTGTTGAAAACATCCCTAAAAAATTTGAACAGCTACATCATCAGAAAGACCAAAAGGGAATACGTTGGAATATAAATGATAGAAAATTTCATCAAAACAGAAACAAAATGGGGAAATAGAAACAGAACAGAGCCTGCCTTGATTGACTGGATCCTCAGAATAGAACAGCACAAACAAGAATAAAGACAGAACTTGAAAGAACAATGCATGCCACCAAGTTTCACGACAGAGGGTTTAAAATAAAAGAAAACCTGAGAGACCAGGAGATGGGAGCGACTTATGAGTGACCAGGAGAGCGACTTACGACTGACCAGGAGATGGGAGCTTCCACGAGTATGGTGCCTGAGCTTCAAAGACACAAGAGGGAGTTTATGGCTTGATAGTTGAATGGGTTCAGGAGAGACGAGCTTCAAATTTTATCGTTAAATTCATTCTTTCATCCAAATTCTAGAGGGCAGTCTTATCTTTTCCCAACCAAAACAAATTACAACTAGGTCCCAAATGACTTGGCTGTTTTTTTTTTTTTTTTTATAATTTGTGGGACATGTAGTAAATAAGTCCCTTCCATGGGTCTTATATGTAATTTTTCCTTCTTTTATGCAAATGAATGAAAGAGCAGACAACAATATTCAGCGGCCAAAACACAAGGAAGCATCAAACTATAACTTATATTCTTCATCTATCTAGAGTCGAAGAATTTTGAGAAACCTGCTAGCTATGAATCCCAAGTTACAGAGAAAAGTAGTTATGCCGAATGATTTAATGTCAAAAGAGCATATTAAATTTAATCCATTAGTGTATAAATATATTTCCTCATACTTAGTTAATAAACAATTAAAACTGTTCAAAGCCAATAGCTGCTGTATTCTGGTATATTATGAAGAAAGAAAGGCTATAAATGCAATCATGGCCAGGAATTCATTTTCCACCACAAAAGCTTCAAAAATAACAGAAAATTGTAGTGAACAACGGTTAATCATCATAATTCCATCTTCTTTACTTTATTCATGATATTTCTTGAAATAAGGCCCCTATCCACCACATAATTCCAGAATGAACATGAAGTTTTGTTTTCACTATCAAGAGGATTACCAAAAGATTTATAGATTTTGCTTGTTATCATCAACCTCCTCCTAGTCATCTCTTCGAATATATTTGCAACCTTTGCATTCCATGTTCCAATACGCATAAGCAAGAATCGCCTGATATACCCCTTCCTTCCATAAGATCAAATAACTTCTGAGCACATTGTATCCTTTCTAACTTACATAACCTTCTTATTAATGCCCTGAATATGAAACATCAATGCAAAGACCTTTTCTAAGAAACTCATCTGGGAGTGTAACAACAGCCTCTTCATTGTCTTTCTTGCAGTAACCATCTACTATCCATGAATAAGTGTAGTGATTGAGGCAAAACCCAGCATTGAGCATGGAAAACATCTCTGATGCAAAACACACACGCACACACTCAAATTAGCTCAGACAGAAAGGACATGAGAGTAGGGACAGAAACAGAGACTTAGATGGGAGAGGGAGACGAGAACAGAGAGGGGGGAAGAGAAAAGGAAGGACAGAACAAAGAGGGAGGAGGAACTAAGAGGAAGAGAACGCACATTGGAGGGAGAGAGCTTTCAAAATTTCTCAAATGAATTCATTCATTGAAAATCTCCTTCTGACTACATGAGTCACCCTAACAAGGAAATCTCTACCCACTTGCTGTCTGGTTTCCTTCACAAGAAGGAAACTTACAAAAGTTAAATGAAAAGCAACAAAACTAATAAACTTATGAAAAGCAATAAAAAACTAATAAACTATTTCCTTCTAAAGTAATGTTTGCCACATTTTCTATCAATTCCCCCTCGCCTTAAAGAACTCTCCTCTAGAGAGGTAGAGAGTTGATAGGCTTCCAACAGGGCGGGATTAAGTTGTTGGAATTCATCTTCTGAAATCCAAATGGCATCTTCATCCGAACGATCTCTCTAACAAACCAAATAATGATGAAGGGGCCCCTTAGAGGTAAAGACCATTTGATCATCCATAATGGTCTCAATTTTGTCAACTGATAGTAAGATAGCTAGCAATGATAGAATTGGCACCAGTAAAGGCCAAGTATTTGCAGATCATCAAAAACCAAAGGGAGAGGCTCAAAAGTTCCCTAGTAAAGCATAAGATCCTCCACATTAAAAACTAAACTTATGGCCATATCATGAGGTAATTCTAAAAGATAAAATTAGGCTCTAATTGCTTTGCAATGCGAAAAGGTCTAGAAACTCGAGCATGCAATTTTTTAAAAGCATGTTGAGGGTAACATTCTAGACGAATTTAAGCCATAACATAGTCACTTGTAGTAAAGCTTTGAAATCGGCAATGACTATTGGTAGATAATTTATATTGATCATTGCTCATTGCTAATTTACGCTTAATGTTAGCATGTAATTCATGAAGGTGATTGGCAAAAGATTCGGCAAATTTAAAGATGCGAAATGTCAATGGGATTGGCATAAGGTCAATAGGCTATTTAGAATTAAAACTTTGAACAATTTGGAAGGAACTCATTCCTGTAGACCTATTCACATAATTATTATATGCAAACTCAACAGTGAGTAAAACCAAATCTCCAATTAAACGCCAAAGCAAATTACCTAGACTTTGACTAGTAACTTCAGTTTGCCCATCAATTTGGGGGTGGAAAGCAGAAGAGAACTTTAACTGGGTACCAAAAAGTTTCCAGAGGATCTTCCAAAAGTAACTAACAAACTTAACATCCCTATCAGATACGATAGTAGCAAGCGACCTATGCAAGTGCACAATCTCCTTAAAGAACAACTTCGCCAAATGTGAAGCATCTGTAGTTTTGCTACAAGAAATAAAGTGAGCTATCTTTGAAAATCTATCCACAACAACCAATATAGAGTCATGACCTTTGGCTGTTCGAGGTAATACCAAGACAAAATCCATACTTAAGTCTTTCCAAGTTGCCTCAAGGATTCGCAAAGGAGTATACCAACCGGTATTCAACTGTCCAGCTTTAGAAGTTTGACAAGTTCAACATTGAGACACTACGTGAGCTACATCACACTTGAGTGAAGGCCAATAGAACCTGTCTTCTCTTCGACTAATTCTATTTTCTTATTAACCCCGAAATGACTGGCTAAACCTCTAGCATATAACTCCTATATAAGAAAATCGTGCATAGATGCACGTGGGATGCACAGTTTGCTTCCATGACAGAGATGAATGTCTTTAAGGATGAAATCAAAATGCTCATAACGGTTACCATTGTTAACTTCTTGATATATTATCCCAAAATTTAGGCATGAAGCATAGTCTTCCTTTAGGTTTTAAAAGCCAACAACACTAACGCTCATAGTGTGCAACAAGTTGATCCATCAGCTCAAAACGTCAGCCACTTTGTTTTTTGTTCCTGAATGATGCTTGACTATGAAAGTGAATCCCTGAATATACTCAACCCATTTAGCATGTTTAGCATTTAAGTGACGTTGAGAGTTGATAAACTTAAGCGCTTGATGATCAAAGTAAAGAACAAATTGTTAAGGAAGGAAGTAGTATTTTGATAGAACCCCTCATTATTTTACTAAGACATATCAAAGGAAGTCAAAGGGAAAGAACGACTCTAGTAGAATAATAACGACTGGTCCAGAGGTTTATCCTTCGGTCTCTAGCTGTAAGGAACAGTAGCATGTGATCTTTTGCCATAATTAAGATCATTTGGGAGGTATGGGCTAAGGGGAAAGCCATGCTGTCCATGCTGTGGTTATATTTTATCTTTTTGCTTGTATTGAGGGGGTATCTTTTGTAAGAGAATGGAGAGGAGAGACTGGCCTCTTGAATGCCCGAAGGAGTGAACCCTCTTGTGAGGTTTGAGCTTGAAATGTTGTTACTTTTGTGATCATTCAAGGGAGATAGGGCTTTGGCTAGAATCAGAGGAAGACTTGTAAATCTGATTCGGTTCTCTCAATTTATTAATATCAAAACCTCAGCATTTTCCCTTCATTTATTGTTATTACTGTCTTTGTTGCTGTTTCTGTGGAAATATTGGTTTGCGTCTTATTAATTGGTATCAGAGCAATACGAATTCTAGGTAGTTAAGAGAAGTTATGGCGGAGGAAGTGCAGTATTCTGAGCGAGAAGTACAAGAGTTGAAGGAGGCAATCGGAGTATTGAATAGGGATGTTAGTGACATCAAGGGAACCTTGAAAACTATTAGTGATACTCTGGCACAACTAGAAAAGAAGGTGGCAAGGCCACATGAGGAAGAACAAGAAGGCACTCATCATGCAGAATCTTCTGAGAATAATACAAGGGGTGGGACAGAAGGAGGTAAGTTTCGGAAATTGGAACTACCTGTATTCTCAGGCGAGGATCCTCTTGGGTGGCTTTTCAGAGTGGAACGGTACTTTCACGTCAACTCCATAGTTGAACATAAGAAGCTCGAAGCAGCATTAGTATGTTTGGAAGGAAAAGGAGTAAACTGGTACCAGTGGCTTGATACGCGAGTACCATTGAGTAACTGGTCAGAATTTAAAAGGGCGTGGCTATGGCGATTCCACTCTTCACAACCCGGTGGTGAGTATGAGCGACTATTTACAGCTAAGCAAGAGAAGTCTGTGCTAGAATTTGTAGAGGAATTTGAACTACTATCGGCGCCATTGAAGGAAGCTTCCGAGGAGTGTTTGATCGGTGCATTCAGGTCTAGACTCAAGACAGAGATTAGGGCTGAGCTGAAGGTGACGAAGGCTATGCTGCGGGAACTGATGGAAATGGCAGTATGTATTGAAGAAAGAAATCGGATGCCGGATGACTGCAGAGACACGAGAGGAACCCGAGTTCAGCGGACCCATTTCGGATCCAAACTTGATTCGACCCAGGTCACTTATTTTCCACGCGTGACTCACGTGACTGAGGGAGGAAGGAACGCCAGTGTGGTTATGTCTTCTCTCGCAGATGGTACGAAGAAAAACAACGCTAGAACAGAGCCTTCAAAGACCAGGAGCAGCACGAATTCTGGAACCACAGCAAGGAGAGGAGGAAATTCTCGCCGACTCCCTAATTCTGAAATTGCAAGACGCAGAGAGTTTGGGCTTTGTTTCAAATGTGGCGACAAATACAGCCCCACTCATCAATGTAAAAATAAGAACCTTCAAGTGTTGATAATGGAGTTAGGAGCCAACACAGAAGGCGAAGAAGATGATACAGCACTCGAAATTGACGGTGGATATCCTGAACCTACTGAGGACGGTATACAGATGGAATTATTTCTTAATTTCTTGGCTGGGTTTGGTGATAACCACACCATGAAAGTCAAGGGGAAGATTGGAGACACACATATAATCATTCTCATTGACAGTGGTGCCACCCATAACTTTATTGCTGAAAATTTGCAGATTAAGTTAAGTCCGCATTGATCAAAAGGCTCTGAAATACCTGCTGGAGCAGAGAGTAGTTGATGAAAACCAGCAAAAATGGGTCTCCAAATTGATGGGATTCAAATTTGAAATTGCGTAGAAGCCCGGGAAGGAGAATAGGGCTGCTTATGCTCTACTAGGCAAGACGAGTCACTTGAACTAATGGGATTTTCATTATGGCAGTATGATGATGTGGAAGAATGGGAAAGAAAGAGAGGTACTAGCTGATCCGAAATTGAGCAAAATTTGCAGCAACTCATTACCGATAAAGAGGGGGTAGAAGGGTATAGCTTGATACATGGCTATCTACACTACAAGGAGAGGTTAGTTCTACCAAAGGAGTCCACCAGAATTCCTTTGCTCCTCAAAGAATATCATTACTCCCCAATGGGGGGCCATTCGAGCTACTTACGCACCTACAAGCGGCTGTCTAATGTTGTGTATCGGGAGGGAATGAAAAGAGATGTCTAGCAATATGTGCCAAGTTGTGAGGTGTGCCAGAAGAATAAATACCAAGCTTTATCCCCGACTAGGTTGCTGCAACCATTGCCTATTCCACAAAATGTGTGGGAGGATATTAACATGGATTTTATTACCAAACTTCCTAAATCCAAGAGGTATGACACAATACTAGTTGTGGTGGACAGACTTACCAAATATGCCCTTTTTTTTTCCATTATCCCACCCTTTTTCTGCCAAAGATGTTGCTGAAAGCTTTATAAGGGAGATTGTCAAGTTGCATGGGTTTCCTAAAACTATTGTTTCAGATCGGGACAAGGTTTTTATAAGCCACTTTTGGCAGGAATTGTTCAAGCAAGCCGGCACGCAACTCTGTCTCAGTTCCTCTTATCATCCAGAATCAGATGGGCAAACTGAGGTGTTAAATAGAAGCTTGGAAACTTACTTGCATTGCTTTGCAAATGAGAAGCCTTCACAATGGGCTAAATGGCTATCTTGGGCTGAGTATTGGTATAACACTTCCTATCATGGGGCGGCCAGTATGACACCCTTTAAAGCGGTGTATGGTCGGGATCTTCCGACATTCTTGAAGTTAAGTGGTGAACCTTCAGCTATAAAGGATGTAAACGAGCAAATTCAGGTTCAGAATCAGATCATCTCCCTCTCACAGGACAATTTAGCTAAGGCTCAAAGCAAAATGAAAGAGCAAGCCAATAAACATGGAAGAGATGTCCAGTTCAATGTTGGAGATTTTGTCTATGTGAAATTGAGACCCTACAAGCTGAAAACGTTGGCTAAGAGAGTCAATGAAAAGTTGAGCCCTCGTTTTTATGGCCCTTTCAAGGTTCTTGCAAAAGTTGGGAATGTAGCCTAAAAACTGGAATTACCACCCACACCTCGCATTCACCTGGTATTTCATGTTTCACAACTAAAACAATCTATGCCGTCGATGGTGGTGAACCCTACCATTCCTGGGAAGTATTGGTTTATTAGAAGTGCAACCCAAAGATATTAGAAGGGTTCGTGGGCTTATGAATGGACAGCAAGAAGTGTTGGTTAAATGGCACGATCTACCTGAATTTGAAAATTCCTGGGAAGGTGCAGACCTGATTCGCAAGCAATTTCCAGCATTTCCCCTTAAGGACAAGGTGAAAATTTTAGGGAAGGGTAATGATAGTGCCCCTCATTATTTTACTAAGACATATCAAAGGAAGTCAAAGGGAAAGAACGACTCTAGTAGAATAATAACGACTGGTCCAGAGGTTTATCCTTCGGTCTCTAGCTGTAAGGAATAGTAGCATGTGATCTTTTGCCATAATTAAGATCTTTTGGGAGGTATGGGCTAAGGGGAAAGCCATGCTGTCCATGCTGTGGTTATATTTTATCTTTTTGCCTGTATTGAGGGGGTATTTTTTGTAAGAGAATGGAGAGGAGAGACTGGCCTCTCGAATGCCAGAAGGAGTGAAATATTGGTATTACTGTCTTTGTTATTAATATCAAAACCTCAGCATTTTCCCTTCATTTATTGTTATTACTGTCTTTGTTGCTGTTTCTGTGGAAATATTGGTTTGCGTCTTTTTATATTTTTAATGCTCAAGAGATCTCACAAACGTATAAAACTCCTCATCATAAGTGGAGTATTTTTGTTTTGCATCATTAAGCTTTTCACTAAAAAAAGCCACAAGGTGACTTTCTTGGCTTAGAACACCTTCGATTCCTAGCCTAGATGCATCACAAGCAACTTCAAAACACTTTGTAAAATATGGTATGGACAAGACTAGAGCTTCAGAAAACTTCTTAATATCCTGGAAGGCTACAGATGCTGTAGAAGTCCACAGGAACTTGTCTTGCTTTAAGCAGTCAGTATTAAGAGCCATAATGCCACTAAAGTTTTTAATGAAGCATATAGAAAGAAGCAAGGCCATGGAAACTTCATACTTCACAGAGAGATTCTGGCCCAAGCCATTCTCGAACGGATCAGACTTTCTCAGGGTCAACTGCTAAACCCTTTTTAAAAACTATAAAACCTAGGAAAATGACTTGATCCTGAAGAAATGAGCACTTGAGCAGGTTAACATGAAGCTGTTCTTGACGCAAGGTGAAGAAAATAAACTCAAGATGTTCCAAGTGTTCCTCTTTAGACCTGCTAAAAACTAGTCTATTATCAAAGTATACCACTAGGAATTTTCCTAAGTGTGAGCGAAGGAGGTGAGTCATTACTCTCATAAATGTACATCTTTGGATTTGATAACCCACGTGACAAGCCATTCAAACAACCTATCTTGTGTTTTAAAGGTAGTCTTCCACTCATCTCCACATCTAATCCTAATCTAATGATAACCAATCCAAAGGTCAATCTTTGAGAACTAACTGAATCTATCCACCTAAAGAAGCATGTCATCAAGTCCAGGAATGAGTAACCTATACTTGGTAGTAATCTTGTTGGTCGCTTTACTGTCTACACACATTCTCCAAGAGCCACCTTTCTTTGAAGTCACAAGAGCAGGTACTGCACAATGACTCATACTGTGCTAGATATAACCCTTTTCCAACCACCCATTAACTTGTCAGTTAAGTTCTTCCCTATCTCTAGAGTTCATCCTATAATGCAGTAGAATGGGGAGTTGTGAGCCCGAAATAAAATCAATTGCATGTTGGATATCTCTCATTGGTGGTAATTCAGATGGAAGCTCATATGAAGTGATATTCTAGAATTGCTTCAAGAGATGCTGCACCTCTCCTGGCATTTCTGAAATAGTGGCAATTCATTGTGAGATTTTGGACGCCAAAATAAGCACAATCATACTTTCTCTACTTTCCTGCATAAATTGTTTTTCTGTCAAAAGATGCAAGTTGTGAGTTTTAGTTTTGTGCCTTTTGATTTACTTGAGCATTTGCCATTGTTGTCAGGCTTAGCTAGATGTAAAAGGATCATCTTGCCTTCATGTTTAAAGGTATAAGTATTCTCACGACCATGATTGGTGACATTGTGGTCATAAAGCCACAGTCGACAAAGTAGAATATGAGCACCATCCATTAAAAGGACATCAGAAAGAATCTCTTCTTTATATTTACCTAATTAAAGAGGAATGTGATACTATTGGGTGACTGGTGAAGAAGTTTTGTCAACCCATACAACACGAAAAGGCTTTAGGTGAGGTTCTAGAACTCCTTCCATCAATCACTAACTACCAAGCTTTGTCTCCACACTTCACAAAAGTATGGAAAATACTTATTCGCTTCCACAAATCACTAGGTAGAGGAACAGATACAATGCATCACACAACTCCAACTCAACATGTCTCACATTCATGTACATAAAATGCGTCAACATGTGCATTGTCCTCCTTATCCTCACAATGTGATTCAATAACTAGAGTATGCTGTGGGCACTTTGACACAATGTGACCCTTTGAGTGACAGCGAAACACTCAACAAGAGAAGTGCTAAGGTGGGAAGCAGGAACTATAGCATCATTAGGCTAAGAGGTATTGCCTTTAAACCTAGTGGCTTGACTAGGTGCAAAAGACAAACTGGAAGTTCATGCCTGTCTAAATTGATTATTCTGCATGTCAGTAAGCTTGACAGAGACTCTACTTCTAAGGTCTTATGATAAGCTTCTTCAAGGGACTCTGAAAAGTTTAACTTAAGCTCCTTTTCTATATATAGCTTGAGTCCATTAACAAATTTAGTAATGGTGCACCATTCTTCTTCATCCAAGTCATACCTAATCATAAGATCATCAAATCAAGATATATACTTAAAAGCTGTGGAGACTTGCCTTAGATTGAGGCATTTGCCATATAGTTGACTCTTATATCGGCACAGTTTTCTTTCAACTTGGCCATCATTTCGTCCCATATCTTAATTGGTTGATAGCCTTATCACTCAATGTTCCTTTGGACATTTTGTCAATACTTTCTAGCAGATCCCATGAGTTTTGGCTTTGTAAACTAAACTCGTTGAGTACCACTCATGTCATACCATTCAAAATAACTTTCCATGCTAGCTAGCCAATCTAAGAACACACTAGGATTCAATCGTCCATCAAATTTAAAGGCCTTAACATTAATTGTATCAGCGTTGTTATCGGTATGTGTTCTTGTAAGGCTTTCTCTATCATTCCTATGGATTGGATGATGTGGTCTATAATGTTGTTCTTTTGGCCCTTATCCATCCCAAATATCGTCTATGTCATCAAATTGATGATTAGTAAACTCATAAGGAGATAGTCTACTATGTCTTTCACCCATAGCTTTAGAGAAATGATCAATTCTAAGGGAACTACCTCTAGGTTGATTATGGACTGGGAATTGCTCATTTCTAAGATTTGACTCTCCTCTAAAGATAGGTCTTTCGAGCATCCCTTCAACCATTTTCCCTACATTTTGTCTGTATGTTAACTCAATTGCACCTATTATCTCTTCAAATCTATTGTTCATGAAACCTTTAATTTCATCAAGTCGCTAGTCTACATATGCCCTTTCAGATTCCGCAAGAGGATTTTGATGATTTGGGAGTTATTGGCAATGGCAGATCTTAGGGAAGTAATTTCTTGGGCTAATAAAGCTTGATTATTGTATAAATCACATATGGTTATACAATGACAAAGGTGATATAGTAAGGTGCAAGTTTGGGGTGGATTTAGTAATCACATATGGTTTCACATTAGGAAGTGAATGATGATTGAGTTTGCTCCCTCTATGTTTGCATTAGGATTATTGTACTGTTCTTTTTCATTGTTTTGAATGAATTCTAGCTTTTGATTCAACCAAAAAAAAAAAGTTGTCCCCTCTTATATATGTGCTGGCCAACTTATCCCTCACACAGCCACGGGGGTTGAATTGTGAAATCCCAGTCCATGGCTAACTCATGTCAATAATTAATCCGAGCATGTCCCCTAACCACAATTATTGTTTAATGAATGACCCAACCATGTTAGTTCGGCTACACTAGTGTACAAGTT